AYAMATAMWTAAGTRGCAGCCGTTCAACCTTTCACCTTATTGGGTGTCTTTACTTCTTGMATTCTCTCTTCATCCACATCACTGCCGTCAACGTTTATCRAAACACTGTCTTCATCATCTCCTTCCTCGTCCTTGAGGTCAAACTGATGGAATTCGGTCTTGATTCTAAGTTTTACTCTAAMATAAAGGACGTCATGACTTCAATTCTCAGTTACTCTTCAAGTTCTCATCATGACTATCAGAATGACATTGACTTCGTACAAACCCAGCTATATAGCACAGAGTACTTACGTATGAAATGGCTTGTTGTAGACAATCACACAAATATGAAAATAAACAATAGAAAAACATTATAAACAGAGACATGAATAGGCTATTAACKTTTAGGAACTGGACAGTTCTCTGCGCTTTTTCGAGTCTTACGTTATTAAAGCAGAATTTCGCTTACCATAGAAGATACCTGTTTTAAGTTTATTTTAGGTACAAAAATGATATCCATCCCCGTACTAACTAGGCTCAATGCAACTACTGTGTCGCTTTGATTATAGGGCTAGACTACCCTATCAAAATAGGAACTATTGCTGGATTTCAAACCGTGTGGAACTGGGCAAAATCCCCTAATTGGGTAATCATGACACAAGACTTGCATAGAAAGTCCAATAGTGAGCGAGTTACAGCCTTTCAAATATTCTAATATTTCAAAAGAAATGTATGGAAAGCTGTGAATGTGTCCAGAAAATGGTCAAAATTCGGAAACATTTGCGGCTTCCCATACATTTCTTTGCAAATTTTATAATATTTGAAAGGCCGTAACTCGTTCACTATTGAACTGATTGACRCCAGATTTTGGAATTTTGCATTTCTCAACATGGRCTTTCTTTCTATGTAAGTCGTATCTCGTGAAATCTCGTGATCATCCAATTAGGGGATTTTGCCCAGTCCCCACTCAGTTTGAAATCCGGCAATGGACAGAAATTTGTACTATTGGGGATATTAAACAGTATGCAGGTTGTCTTGTCTAACCAGCGAACATAGCCTCTTACGTATAGTTCATCATAAAATCAAACGCTCCTAGTAAAAAAAGGCGGTGCGTTAAGTACCGGAGATGACTGCTTCCACCTGTTGACATGATTATGACAATTGAAACTAGAAAGCAAATTATCTATACTTATAAATGTATTTACCGTGGAAACATCGCCAACTTTAATATTCATTGGCTCTTCTTCAAACTGGAACGTGCTGACGGGTGTTTCCTGGTGAACAACGACATAAAGATTGATATAAACTTCTGGCATTTGMGAGTGAATTCTGATTCCTGTCTCAGATTTAATATGTTTTACCTTAAATCCAGGAGGCTGGTACGATGATGGCGTGACTTCAATCATAACGAAATAAAATAAAACACAAATCATTGTCGATCAGTCAGAGTCAGCCTTTCATTCAGATAGTCAATCAATGCAAAGGAGTCTTAACCCTCCGATTAATTATGAAGCAATCATACCTAAAGTCTATCATTACAAAAAAAGCAACCAACCAACCAATCAATCAATCAAATGATACTGATTGATCAATCAGTCAATCGCAATCAAATGATCCAGTCCACATAATYTTATGGAAATCTCTTTTGCAACGGAAGTTGAACGAATACACTACGTTAGGCACAGGACTCAAACACGTCGGAAAAAAGAAATTTATCGTCGTTTTTCGCATTCGTGGACTTATTACCTGCATCATAGTAAAGGAGCTTCATGGTCATCATAACATCATCTAGAGACGAAAGACAGCAATATATGATGTTATCATTACTAGAGTGCATTTATTACATRCAGCTATTTGAGAAAACTTTGAATAGTGAATACTGGTGGCGCATACGAATTCCAAGACCGAAATGCATTTTTTGTCGTCGTATCGTGACATAGTCAGAAAGAAGTTTGTACAGATTTTTGAGTGACTATTATATCATCCCTGCACAGTCCAATCGTGATAAAAAACAATTATTTAACCTTTTAGCATTGTCATTTTGTAGCGCAGCTACTAAAATAGGAAAAAAACAAAGCGGTCTTGGATTAATGTACTATGCAATATTCAACATTATCTAAACACATCCATCATTGATCTAGTTTTCACGCACATAGTTGAGCTACCTAAACCAGTGGCTTTTTATATAGTTCTAAAAGTACTCCTAAATTTGTCCTTTTGACAACCATGCGACSTTCCCTACGAGCGTTTAGAAATAAGAATATCTCGGTATAAACCAAAAATAAAATTATACCCATTTCTATTTTTGTCTTTATGCCTTAAGAATGGAGGTAGACTCAGTTTCGATAAAAGCAACGGAACGAAACGGAACAAGTAAGAATGATATTTACGWARCAACCTCAATTTATGTATATGATAAAAATGTAAACGACCGCAATGCATTCCTGTTAGCCATGACCATTTGAACAAGCTCAAATAGGTGCAAAAAGAGAAACAAGAAACATTTATATACTTACCAGGAAGTGAAGTTAAAGTCTGGGTTAAGATGATTATTGTTCTAAGGAGCAACGAAAGTAAGTGTAAGTGCTTAAAATACATAACAYGGAGTTCTGTCAAACAATATATGTTTTTGAATGCGAATCTTATTTTAAGCTATCAGCGATCGCAGCCATCTTCCATGCGCGCACGCTAAGCTTCGTTTGTTGTCGTTGTTGTTGTTGTTTTACGCATGCACTGTAAGGACATTTCAATGTCTGTGCATTTCAAGCTTTTAGGATGAGATATTGAAAAATAAAGGTTGACGGATATTRAAAACTGCTGGTATGATTCATAACCTGACCCTCAAAACCTTTTAAAGAATCATAACCAACCGCCGTAACTTGCGCGCTCGTGTTATTGTTTACCACGTTTAAATGCGTCAAGCATACAATAGATTGATAGTACCTGTGTAGTACTTGGTTGATGGTATTTCTGGAAGACGGAAGACGATTTGCGCTCACATTAACAAATCCTACGAATCCGCCATTTTGGTGTCCACCTAAAATGGCGCTTCGGCTCGCAAGGTTCGGCGGTTGGTTATGATTCTTTAATGGTTTGAATTAGCTGAAGTCAATGACATATTTCTAGTTTAGAAGTTTGCGAAAATCGTTTCTCTCTTTCAACTTACCGCGCGCGCAGGGCGTGGTGTCAGTACAGTATTAATGCACTGTTATTAGCTCAGTTCAATTGGACGACAAATCAGCACACGAATGTGGTATTAATACAAGAATTGATCAGAGTGAGTGAAAAGTAGATTGTCATTTAAACACTATATTACGCTACCTTAGTAGACGAATTGTGGCTTTCTTGGTTTCGGCCTCAGTGTATGCACTTGCAATCTTATTTCCATTCCTACCAAATAATTATACTATGATATCATTTGTATAATATGTACTATTGACTGAGTGGGAGGGCCGTACGGGAAAATATTTGGCTCGAGGCTATGCCGTACGGAACGAGCGCAGCGCAGCCAAGTCAATAAGCATTTCATCATATGACAGAGTTTTTTTAATATATTATATATGTAAAATAAAAATAACTAAAAAAAAAGCGCGTGGAACTTCAAGCCGGGAAGATACGGGTTTGTACGTCCCTGTAACGAAAAGGCGTACGGCCCCATCACGTGACCATTTCCCTAAGTTTTTTTTAAGAGCGCGCGTAGGGCCGAAATACCGGTCGTATGAAAATAGTTGTTATATCACGCGTGTGGAACTAGTTGATAAGTGAGTACACACACACACGAATAACGCCACTCAATTTAACGCCCTAATTCATCAGAATCGAACACAAGAGCGCTTACTTTGTTGTGTTTTCATCACTTTTTTCGTAAAATTTTGAATAGCTTTTTGAATGCGACAATAAGATTACATTTAGATATAGAATGACAAATAAGGTTGACTGTTCCTCTATTTAGTGCTAAGTGTTACCTTAAAATTGTCATTCCTTCCTTGTTGTAGGTAAACTTTAAGAGTAACAATAATTGAATGTTATATTAGGGAATCTTCAATTCTTTTCCATCATTTCAGACAAGACAAGACAAATTATTTACCTTGAAAGTGTATGACTCAATTATTGTCTGAAAAAAATGATAAAAGGATTATTAAAGTTTGAAAGGAACATACACTGCAATTGCAATAATAGCATTTCATTTSAGAATATGGCTCAACGATTCTTCATTTCCAGGTTACGTCACAGTGGCCATCTTGAAGGATTTTTAACAAAGGATTTTTAATAAGTACGTATTGTTCACTCCCCCAACATGGCCGCCGGTCTTTTATCTTTTGAATTTCAAGGCGGARATGGGTGAAAAAAATCAATACTTTGATACCACCCAAGAAAGATGTTTTATTTTGTAATTATAGCTACTTACATCTGGATCTTCTGCATCTACATATATCTGAAAAAAGAAACATCAAATCTTATGAGAAGTGAAGACATGATATGAACTAGGCACAAATGAAATCAAATTACTTTACTTACCCCTATGACAATCATGCGCAACTAAAGAAAAGAAATATCTTTAGTTAATTAGTCATAATATGATTGTACCGCAGAGAATAGTAAACTCTCTGTAGCCCTTCTTTACTACACGGAGCAATTATAGCTAAATTACAAACCCCAGACTCGCTCTTTGATATCATAGTACTCGCCGTGCATTTAGCCCGAGCAAGCTACAGTAACAGCAGAAGCTGCAGCAACAAATAAATGTGCTCATGAAATAGTGTATTGTATATCCTATATCCAAGTATATACTAACTTTTYAAAGTTCTRAATTCTTTTTGTGCCAGCAGAATAACCCAAGTAGGCTACAAAGATATGACCACACCCTCCCCTCTCACCAACTACAGTCTAACTCCACAGTGRGTTGGAGGATGGGAAAATGCTATGCCCGCGTGGTTTATTTCACCAAGAACGCACGAAATTGTGTTGTTTATTGCATGACCTAATGTCAAATCAGGCTATAATATCAATTGTTGCAATTGGAACAAAATAGTTTACTGRTAATCGACTTACAAATTTCTTGTCTAGTGCGTCAAAGCATCCTTTGATCCTGAAATAAAATAACAGCTTGTTGTTGTATATAACCTCCTCAGCATACCTCTGTGTGCTATCAACTATACGGTAATTGTAAACATTATTGCACACGTGGACAATGTAAGCACAACATCGCATCAGTTTGGCGAAAAAATGAGCTGATGTTGATAAAATAATGTTGCAGATGAATGCCTGTCATTTCCGTTCCATGTTGTGTTACGATGGATGATTTGTGAGAAGGATTTATACAGATTGTGTATGGAAATTGCTAGGTCTTTCGAAGCAACGAAACAACGGATAAAAACTATGGAGAAAGGGGAAGAAGCCAGTGTTCAACGAGTGCACAAAACGCAACACAAACAACAAACCAAGAGTAAGTCATCCTCAGAAGGTAAGCCCAAGCCATCAAGTAATAAGAAATGCTTCTTTTGTGGTAAAGACATGCACAAAAGACAGTCCTGTCCTGCACGAAATGCCACATGCAATAACTGTGGAAAGAAAGGTCACTTTAAAGCTGTTTGTCAATCACGAAATGTGCATGAAGTTCAACAGGACAGTGACGAAGAAACACCACAGGAAAATGCATTTCTTGGCTCAGTTCACCACCAATCATCTAATTTGACTAGTTCAAAAGACTGGACTGTTGATGTATGTATAGACAATAACATTGTCAACTTTAAGATAGACACTGGTGCGGATGTCAACATTATCTCAGATAAGATTTATACAAGTAAATTCAGTCACAAGCCTCTNAAATCTAGAGCGGAAGTCTTTGCGAATGATCTGCGCGCGATATTTTCTCGCTATCATGACTCCCCCGATGCAATAGAATAGGATATTTTATGTAAGTTTGATATTAAAAGGAAATGGCATCTTTGTTTTCGAAGAATTAATGAATTTTTTTCGGTGGTATTTCAAAGTTAYCTCTAAAATTAAAGAAAAGCRSCGTACTAATTGGAAATCGGACAGTTTCTCCGAAAATCAATCTTTTTGTTAATTAACCAATCAAATAACAAAGATATTAAATTTAACAAATATAACCATTTATCCAATAAGCTAATCAGTAAGAGCTATTGTAATATTAAAAACTGGAGAATCCATTTTTTTAAAGAATTTTTTTTTAACTATACACATGCAAATGAAAAATGTGCTGGAACTCAATTCATTGCTAGAGAAAAAGGGAGGTTTCACTTACCACTGAATAACCTGGCAAGCACCTGGGCAGGCACTGTCATCCTTTAATATTTTCAGGTTTAGGTCTATACAAGAGAATAACTGGCAGGTCATGATTCATGGGAATAAATCAAGTAAACTAATATTAAACATTTCAAAATGAATAAAACATGATCTAGAATTCAATTTGAAATAAACAATGAAAAACAAACTAAATAAATGAAGTGATTAACAATTTATTGCGATTTCATTTTTTTCCTTTTCTGTCTCTTCTTCCTTTCTTTGTCTTTTTTTTTGTATGTGTGGTGGTTTTTGCTTATACCAAATGTAGCTATAGATACGATTTCATTAAAGTTAATGTACCTTCAAGTCTTCTGTCTCCAAATGCATGCTCAGGAAAGATAGCTCTTAAACATAAACAGTATATTTGAATGAATAAATTAATTAGATATGATATCTAAAATCATATAATTCAAAAAAGATAATATAAAATATAAAATATTATTTTTAACAAATCATCAAATATTCTGTACCTCAGATACGTTATACTTGAAACCTAAGCAAAAAATAACAAAAGTTAACAATAATTGAGATTAAAGAGAGAGAGAGATAGAGAGAGAGAAAAAAAACAAAAAAAACAAGAACAAGAACAACAGCAACAACAACAACAACAACAACAAACAAACAAACAAAGAAGCAAACAAAACCAAAACCAAATATAAAAGCAGGGTGTTATCAACATAAGGGAATTGACTCTAAATATCATAGTTAGTGGATGGCCAGAAACTTTCGGAAATAACTCTGACAGATACAACCAAATACTTAAAGACATAGCAGGGTGTGATCAACCAAATAACATTTGCATACTTTATAAAGTAGATTGAGTACTGTAGAAGTTCCTCTCAAAGCTTTTTTCTCTCAATAGCTGATTTGCATTATGGCGTCATTTACTGCAAGTAATAACTACCAGAATGCTTTGCMAACTTTCTTTTGGTAATGCAATTAGTGACAGTTATTTTATCAATCTCCAAGGGGATTAAAAATTTGCATAACAATGAAAATGTGCAATGCTCTCTTGTAGTTGCAGTAAAGTTAAGCCATAATGCAAATGGCCATATTGTTAGTAGTAACATGTTCATCCAATAAGATAAAATGAGTGTCAACAAAGGCACTATGATGTCAGGTGTCATAATACCATCTGCAGGCAATCATTAGATATATTGATTATATAATCAGTTTATCTCAATACAGTCAGTCATCAAGGGAATGCTTCACAGTTAAAACGGCAGTCTATTGAYTTCAGTCCGCCAGCAACACTCAGTCTGGTACKTACACCTGATAATAATCTAMAACCCAATTCAATTTACTGAATAATGATATTATAATTTCAGGACATACCGCAACAGCAAGTAGTTTCTTTACAAAAAGAGCAGACTGTGTTTCTAATAAAAAAGGATGTCAATTAACACTACAGTTCATGAAAAGATCACTTTTTAACCATSAATTTCTAGTGTAAATATTTCTGGTATTCTAAAAGAATTGCATTGTTTTTCACCTGTTACTTGCTCTTGYGGGAAAATACTGGACCACTAAAACAAAAATACAAAACAAAGCATGTAACGATATGTAATGTGAGGAAAAAACAAAAAACAAAACAAAGAAACGTTAAAAAAAACAAAAAACAAAAAAAAAAACAACAACAACAACAACAAGACAGGAATGTATGAACAAAATGAAAAGAGAAAAAAGGAAAATAAGATCTTATTGAAAAAAAACAACAACTTTTTTTAGTGTATGAGMTGTAATAGAAAAGGTGTAACTTGCAAACAGAGAATATATGAAATTGAGAAAAGAAAGAGAGAAAATTCATTATTTTTAGCCCAATGCAAGACAATAAGCAAAAGCTTCAAAACTTATCCATATTGCATTTTGCAGGTTATACGATGAAAAGAAAAGGGAGTTGCAAATAAGACTTATAAGATAAAATAAACTGTGGACTGTCAATACATGTACAGCTACTTTATGACATAGACCTAGTAAAGTTATACTTACACTGACTGACTTTGTCTCCTCTCGAAGTTTTTGAGCTGTTGCCATCCCCAGAAAATCTGGGAAAAAAATGATTGTTAAGAAGTCACTAGGAGGTGTGTAAGTTGTAGGCTTGAGGACAGCGTAATCTCTAACTATATGGTGTGTATTTGTTTATTCAAGCTTAAAGATGCATGAATTACCCTAGCAAGGGCTATAAAGGGAAATTGAGATATCAATAAAAATAATGATTTGAGCATAAGCCTAGCTTATTGCAAGCTTTTTGAGGTCCAATTTGATTTGGTTTGCCTATTTAAGTTTAGTTAATTCATAGCTAAAATAATATATAAGCTAAAATAAGAATAAATGTTAAAAACACATTTCTGAAGCTTAAAGAAACAAATGGACGAAAAAACGCAAATTCAGCTATGAAATTTCTCGAGTGAATGACCATGGATTTTACTTACCTTTACATGTAAAGAATATAGGAATCGATGTATTCGYAGCAAAATTCTTCTTTGGGTAAAGTACACCACAATTCTGCTTTASTAAAGCCTCGAGCAAGATTTTTATGTATTTTAGCTTACCTTTAGAAAYATCAAGTAAAGTTATAAAAGATCAATCTACAATCTGTTGATATAGATAAGTAAAGCGGGAAAAATAGAAACGGCGGCTCGCGCGCCACACATATTTCCCGCCAAGAAAATAGTTCAAGTTATGGGTGGGGAGGGACGGGAGTTTAGCTAAATATAACGATGTATCTTTTTTCAATTATAAAATGATATATTGAATTTGTTATTTTCATCAAATCTGTTAATATCTATTCTTTATCKACACATCTATTTTTGTTTTATTTGTGTCAAATAAGGAATGATGTTTGGCGACGAAAAACCATTTAGACYTGTGATCATGAAAAGCCAAATGGCAATCCCGTGGGGAAAGACTACCTAATATAAAATGGCGCGGGTTCTCGTCATCCATTTTAAGGCTTGAAATCATTGTTTTGGTCCCGCTTAGGGTGATAAAGACGAGAATTCCCACCAAATATTAAACTTTTCCTCTTTAGCTTTGTCGATGCAAAGCCAAACATAGTAAAAAWRATAATAAAATAAAATAAAATAATTAATAATTAGACCTCGAGGTCGAGTGGACTACGAGTTAATAGGAATGATTATTACATGAAACTGGAAGAAGAATTAAATGATATCGTTTCGTGGGCCTCTATTCAGACAAATTTCATTTACTGGGAGGGACTTACGTGTTTAGTTACAAAGCCTACACGAATAACGTAGAACCCCCCCGGGGGGGGGGGGGGGGGTACTCAACCCCGTTTTGGATAGGTACGTGCCGCTAGCGGTCTAAATCCCTGACCCTGTTTAAGACAGTAAAAAGTAAAAATCCATACCCTGTTCAAGACAAATCGGAAAAATAAGGAATAGTTATCTACCCCGCAATCATCAAAACTGCAATTATACTGACATCCATCAAAGACAATAAGAAGTTTTTGATAACACGTTGAACCTGGGACAGTGAAACGGAATTCTACTATTCCTAAGGTGTTTTTTAATAAAATATTACCCTGTCCAAGACACACAAAAAAGTTATATTTCTCGAAGAGAAATTTTGCGAAGACCTTGAGTTGGCTCACTGGCATGTTGGAGAGATCTTTGACTGTATTGTCGTATTGATGATAACTGGTATTATAGGTGGATCTTCGCTGACGTCATTGTTTACATTTTTTTTTTCGGCTAACACCACATACACACTGAATATTGAAAGAACTCTGTAAGATTAGCTGTTATTGATAATTTGAGCTAAATCCATGGAATAGATTTGGAGTAATATGGTTTTCAAAACTACGAATTTTACAAAGAATGTATGGGCTCATTAGCGTTTTGCCACACAGCCCGATTTTCCATTGTTCTCAAAACTGATATATCGTGTTTAAAATTGCATGCAAAAAGCTCAAAGTGTTGTGAAATCTGTAGATTTACGAG